ATATAAAATATTATATGGTAAAATATATATAGGTATATAAGAAATAAATAAACTTGAAGTTTTACTTTTAAGTAATATTTTGAAATTAGTTAACGCTATAAAAGTGAAAATCTTAAGGATGATGCTCGTAAAAAAGGACACAGAATATCTGGGCTTCTAAAAATAAAATAATAAAATATTTCATTTTTAGAAATACATATGATAATAATATAAAAATGTGTATTATTTGAGTTATACTAAAGATAGAATCTTGACCCGAGACACCACAAGTCACAATTTCAGGTTAATTTTCTTAAGTGATGGATTTGATTTAAACTCCACCAGTATGATAGAAGGGTTTTTATTTTAAGTCTCAATATTTTAATCCAAATAAACATTTTCAAATTATCATTTTTCTTTTTCAACTCATTTCTCTTAATTTTCAAGTCCTTGACTATTCTTTTTAGTTCAATCTTTGTCTTGACTAAGAATTCATTTTCTACTTTAAGCTTGGATATAATGTTCTTGTATTTCAATGTCTTTTCCTCAAACTCAAATACTAAATCATCATATGTATCTTGTAATTTATCAAATGAATATGAGTCTTGATCTAAAGTACATGACCTAGTATTAGAAGAGGTAGAGCATACCTTGGTGTCTTCTAGTGCCATGAAGTAAAGGTTGGCAAGTTCATTTTCTTCATCTTGAGATTCATCACTATCACTCCAAGTGGTATCTATGGCTTTTTTATTGAAGTTCTTTAAAGCACTCTTCTTGTTTGGGTATTCATACTTGGTGTGTTTTAATTTTCTACATTCATAGTATATCAAGTGATCTTTGCCATGTTTTTCTTTTGGCATATCTTTTCTAAGGGGTCTCTTACCTCTATAGTTCCTCTTCATAAATTTGTTGAACCTCTTGATTAGCATGGTTATGTCCTCATCCTTTTCACTTTCATCTTCTTCAATTATGGATTCTATTCCTTTCTTCTTAATGTCTTTTTTCTTTTCATCATCTAGAGAACTTTTATGTTTTAGGGTCATCTCATAGGTAAGTAAAGATCTTGCAAGCTTTTCTAGTTGAAAATCATTTAGGTTTCATGCTTCTTCTATTGCTATCATTTATGGTCTCCATGACTTGAGAAAACTTTAGAGTATCTTCTTAACTAATTAGGCATTTAGGAAGTCTTTTCCTAAGACCTTCAAACCTCTAACTATGTTGGTGAATCTCTCATTCATTTGGTTTATAGTTTCACCTTCATTCATCTTAAATAGCTCATAATCATGTTTAAGAAGTCTTATTTTGGATTTCTTAATATGGCTTATTCCTTTGTAGATTGTTTCTAAGGTATCCCAAATTTATTCTTCAATTTCACTCATAAATACTTTATTGAACTCATTAGTACTAAGAGAACAAAGAAGAGTATTGAAGGCTTTGCAATTTATTTGTTTCAACTTTTTTTCTTTGTCATCCCACTTTTTTCTAGTTTTAACAATTGTTTGTCCATTTACTTCCTTAGTAGGGACATGAAGACCATCTAAAATAACATTCCAAACTTCAAGATCTATTGATTGAATGAATATCTCCATTCTTTTTTCAAATAAGGGTAATTTATACTTGAGAAGAATAAAGGTTTTTAAATAAAGTGACCCTCACCAAGAACAACTAAGGTGGATTCCATCTTGATATGTTGGGCTTTGCTTTTGGATCATTCAAGGTTGTTAGACCTGTAAGATTAAGCCCTAGCTTTGATACCAATTATTAGTGCAATAAACTCAATATGAGTAATTCCAAGAAGGTGGAGAATTAGAATCTTTCAAACATTCTAGCTAATTTTAGAAAATTAAAGTTTTTCTTAAATGGAAAGACTTCTTTGAACTTGATCAAGATGATGAGAAATTTTAATCTAAATTAAAATGGATTAAAAGATAGAGGCAGCACAAGAATTTTATAAAAGTTTGTCCTTCTTGCCTACAATGCCTTTTATAGATCAAGCATAACCTTAACAAATGTCTTTTCAAGGATAAGACTAAACCTCTTCTACCTTTTATTTAGTTAATGTATAACACACAATCTACCTTTTAATGGTTAAGGTGAAACCCTCAAGTGTTTGTAATAAATGAAAAGAAAAAAGCTAATATGCCCACCAAAGGCTCAAATGGCAAATGAGTGCAAATGTTTGATAAAAGGAGAACTAAGGATTTAAAGCACAATAAATGATACAATTTGAAGATTTGCACAAATGTGAGAAGTGAAAGTGCTAATAAATGTTGAGAGTAGAAATCTTTTCCCTTTGTTGTGTTTGAAAGCCTTCCAATGTTAATAAATATGGTGGGAGCTTATATTTATAGTTGCTGAAGCTTCAGAGGTGGTTGGAGGTGCATTAATGTGAAAATAGTTGTTTTGCACTTTGTTCCAAGCTCCAACAATCACCTTCTATTAATAGATTTCACGATCTATTGATAAATTCCCTTCAAAAATTTCAAATTCATATCAATCTATCAGTAGATGTAAGTATTTATTGATAGATGCAAGTCAATGTCCTTGTAGAGTGCTTTCAAGTGGCCATTTATCAATAGATGTGCCGTATCTATTGATAGATGCAAGTCAAGACCTTTTTGAATTATTCTCAATAGATGTTCATTGTTTTTGAGGTCTAAATGCTAGAATAAAACTATCGATAGATGTTTTTCATCTATTGATAAATAATCTATTAATAGATAAGCCTGTCTATCAAAATTTGAAGAACATCTATCAATAAATTGAACATCTACCAATTTCAGTAAAGCATGGATGACAAGTTTATCTTCATTTACAAGTGAATTCACCAATGCAAGTTCATTAGCAATGTTTATGAAATTTTGGAAGTATTAGGCAACTGTCTTGGTGCCTTTGGATTTAGTAAGTTTTTCTCCTAAGTTCATCATTCGAGATCTATACTTGTTAGCATACAACTTATTGATTTTGATTTGAGCATCAAAAGAAGTTTCAATAGAGGCAAAGAAAGGCACAACACTTTCTATAGCATATGAAATAATACCATGAAGTAATGGTTGTTCTTGTTTGACCCAATGATCATATTCTGTATTAACAATAAGAAAAAGGGGTTAAAACTTTCTTGTCGTATCATGGCTGGAAGGCAAGGGGTGGAACCATCCACATATCCCAATAACTTATATCTAATTAAAAGAGACTTTAATTGAGTTCTCCATGAAGAAAAGTTGAGACGAGTGAGTTTTATAGGTAAGTATGTAGCAGCATTAATAATGATCAAGGGATATTGTAGATTAGCGAAAAGAAGTGTAGGATTAAATTAGGTTGTTGGAAAGCAAGTTGTATTTTTTGAGCTTGAAGAAGACATGATTAGTTGAGAAAAAAAAATATATTCTTAACTTGTTGGAGCTTACAATGGCTCTAATACCATAAAAAATTCAATATAGAACATTAAATATGAAATAAAACTATCTTTGTACTTCTATTTGACAATGGTGTATTTATAACACAAAGATAATAAGATAAGATAGTTATCAAAATTTTAGTTGATAAAACAATTATCAAAATTCTAGTTTAGATAAAACATAATCCCATTTGCAGATTTAAATATATCATCCTTAATGTTTATTTATTTCTTCTGTTATACTTGTTTCTTATTCTTGGATTAAGCGTTATCTACATGTCAATTGAAGATTGAGCTTTATCTGCATGTTGAGTTAATTATTGCTATCTATAACTCTAAAGCCATGTATATTTATTGGGCAAACCTCTCCTTGCATTCAAATGGAATTATATGTTATATGCACGCAAAATTCCCATGTTTTTAACTTGTGGTTAGGGGCTATCCCCTGTTATCCCAAAAAAAGATATATATTACTGCTCAAAATTCAAAAACTGTTCCACTTTGAGCTTTGTCTAGTGGCAAATAAAGCAATAGACTGAATGGTGCATTGGCGCTAGGCTCATTGGCTGATTCTGTTGGTTACAACAACCATTGAGATATAGGCATCTAATAGCTCATAAATTATTAGCCTGTCACATGAGTCTAATGAGCACACCTTTAACCAAATCTCCAAAAGTTCACAAATTTTCTTCAATGAAATAGAGTAAAGGTGACCCCTTACTCCATTTTTATGTGGAATAGCTATCCAACAAACACCCATACTGCAATTTAATACGAAAAGTTAATCTTTAGCAAGATCATTTGAATTGTTACTAATCACGCAAGCTTTATTTTAATCAAGAAATGTTTAAGTTTAATGATGCTTGTCTACTCCTTTGTTTGTCAATTTTAACTCCAATGATACATGTCTACTTCCTTTTCTCAATGTTGGCCCGAGTGTGAGTGCTTAGGTTATAATGTCTCGCAATCCTTCCTTTTTAAGCCTGTTTGGCTAGGAGCTAATTTGCTGGCCCTATTTAGACAGCTCTAGCTAAGTAATCTATCACTTCAATCTAAATCTTCATCATACTTAGCTTGAAAATATGGTTTTCATTTAAAGTTGAAAAGAGAAGGGGCCTCTTGATTTCCCTTTATGATTCTCTTCTACTAGTCTATCCATTGCCTCTACAGTGGTTAGCATGTGAAGTCTCTCATTGAATCTTTGAGGACCTCCCACTCCAACCCAATCAAAATCTGAAAATCTCTAAAATCCCATTATTCCAAGTAGGTCCCCCCTTGTCTGAAACTTAATGTTTATATATTTGTGAACATTTAGTTAACCTTTCCACCTGTAACATCCCATCTGTCTGATTTTCTTTTCCAGAAGCATTTCTGTATTCAGGCGAGGACAGAAACAAGCTGTACTTCATAACCCCTGCCTCCTTTACATTGGTCTTAAACATGCATGATGTGGTTGCTTGATTTTAATCTGTTAAATTTATCAAAGTCCCACCAACGGTAATGATATATAGAGGCACATAAGCAATGTTTAGTGAACTCACATCATAGCATTAAGGTGCTGCTGATTTAGCATATTGCTTAGAGTTGGAGTTTTTTCTATATCTGAACAGGAATAAGCCTTTTGCCATTCTGTTAAGCTCATTTCGATAATCCTCTGCACCTAGTTGTATGGATCTCAACGCCAAGCCATCGCCTTCTGAGGCATATCCCGAGACAATGGATTTTCTTTCGCGTGCATGGTGCAACTTTGCGGTTCAAGCTCTCCAACCTGAGTTACATGATCAATCTATTGTTGTCTTAGACAATCCAATCAAGAAATTTGAGAGTGAAACACCAATGTCTTTAACGGTGAGTACTCAAACTGCAACAATATGTTGGCTTACGTTGCACATGTTGCAATTTATATGCTAAGGGCGAAAAAGAAAAATTCAATTCAAGCTTTTGTAACTTGCAGAAGATGGAGAAAAGCACAAAGATCGATGCTACTGATTTCAAGTCGTCTTTGCCACCATGGAAATCCAATGATATGAAGGTAACAGTTCAATTAATGCTATTGGCATTGTCAAAATTAATAGTATTTTTTATTTCTTTACCTTCAATTAAAACAATGGATTGTTCATTTTATCTTCAGTCATGGATATGGATGCAACAAGCAATGCATCCAGAACTGAACTACAACAGCTGTTTGCGAAAGAAATGGGTAGGTGGTTTAGGTACTTGGTTCTATTTCTTTGTAGTTGTTCTTGAAAAAGAGCCTTAAAACTCCTCATGTATATGAGCAGATGCCCTGGAAGATAGTCCCCTTTAAGGGTCTTTCAATCAAGAAATGGTTGAAGGAGATGAGAGCAAAGCGGAAGGAAGAAGAGAGACTACAAAGAGCTGAAGTGCACGCTGCAATGTCAGTGGCAGGATTAGCAGCTGCACTGGCTGCAATTGCGGCTGAGAACTCCAAAAGGGAGGATTGTAACCCAACCAGGGAGGCTGCAGTAGCCTCAGCAGCTGCTCTGGTTGCAGCACAATGTGCCAAAGTGGCAGAAGCAATGGGGGCAAAGAAGGAGCAGCTTGGCAGCCTTATAGGTTCGGCCATGAGTGGTACCAGTGCGAGTGATATCCTAACGCTAACTGCTGCTGCTAATACATGTAAGTATAAAGATTATATTTTATGCCTGATCTGCAATTTTTGCAAATAAACTGCTCTGAGTATGTGCCTTGAAGTTACTTTAAAAAACACCTTTTTATCCATGAAGTTAGGATGAAAATTTACTTAAACCTTTTTTGAAAAAAAAATAACAGTACAAATTATCAAGCCAATTTTAAAATGAAAACTATGTATTCCTTTATTATTTATTTCTCTATTTCATTTTTTATTTTTTATTTCTCTTTTTATTTTGTCCAAGACTTTTTTGTTTTTAGTTACAAAATTTTGAGATTTAAGTAGTTATGAATAGGATTGAAAGATTTAATCAGTTTTAAAATTATCTTTAATTATTATCAATTTTAAATTTATTTAGGTTAAATCATAATTCAAATATGTATTAAATTATATATAATTCAATCACAAAAAATAATTACCAAAATAAAATTTCTTCCATTAATTTTTATCATTAGTCCAATTAATATTTGTTCAAAATTAACTTTAAGTATTAAAGTATCCTCATTTTGTTTGTTTTCTTTTTATTTCTCCTTTCCCCGCTTTTTCCAATTTTTTCTTTGTTTTAATCCATTTTTTATCACTCAACATTTTTTTTCAAATTAAACTGAAGGTAATTGATTTATTTTAACTAAAAATAATTTAATACATTTATCTCACAGCAAATAAATAATTGAATTGAAGATAAGTTTAATAAATTTAGTATGTAATTGAATTAAAATTTAATTTGACAGTAAATAAATATGATGTTAAAAAAAATTCAATCTCAAAATTAACTAAATCTCGCAATTTTATATTTAAAAAAATATTGTGTAAAAGAAAAAAGAAAAGAAAAATAAACAATTAAGAAACTGAAAAAGAAAAGAACATAAATGATTGTATTGTAGCTAGCATAAAGCGTTAATCTCTGCTAATGTTCATAACTTATTCTTGATTCTAATTTTTCCTCCTAATAAATTATTGTAGCATTAAGAGGAGCTGCTACCCTTAAATCAAGAACAGGATGCAAGAACGGATTGAATGGTAGCGCCCCCGTCCTGCCAATTGAGGACAGCAATGATTTTCCTTTCGAGTTTGAGAAGTGCAGGTCAATGCTAGCAAAGGGTGCTGAGCTAGGTGTAGAAACACCAGATGGTGAGTAGATCTTTTATACTCTAATATTCTGAAAAAAAAATAACTAACAAAACTATGAAATTGATCATCTGAACTTGATAGAGCATCAAAAGATATGCCATTTATTCCATTTGAGAAAATAATTAACGTTTGGAGCTTTGATTCTATTTTCCTTATCAGTTAATGCTATTCCTAAACAGGAAAGTACAGGGTCAGATCGGTGTCCATCGTCCTGGACGGTGAATCAAAGGTCAGCCTATGAAGCTGAAGCCCCTACTTCAGAAATTAACAATAACTGAATGCATTGAATGAAATGCTCTCTTGGCGTGCGAATATTTGTTTATAATTAGCTGCTGCCTTAGTCCTTAATTGATTTTTTATTCATATAATACACTTGGCAGGTTATTCTTAAACTAAGGAAGCTCAGCCTTTTAAAAAGCAAGAAAGAATGTGAGTCACACATTTTTCATCATTTCACCCCTTTTCTTTTCATTTAGCACTCCATTACATTTTACAAACAAGTTGTTTAAAGAGTACGATCACATGGAATTTGATCAAAATCTGGATTCTTTAATTTAGGCACTGTAATGGATCTGCATGCTGAATTGTATAGAGATCCTGAAGCTGATGAGACTACGGATACATGTTATCTAATCCTGTTGACCACAAATTTGGGGACGATTAAGCTAGACATGGTAGATGATTACCAGAGTTACAAGACATGGGCTACAACCATTAATCATATGCTTATGCTTTCCACTTCTTTTACCAAATATGAAGTTCAATTCTACAAAAACTGAAGTTACTGTGTTTTTGGTGATGTTCTGCATCAATCTATTTTGGATATTTGTAATAGTATTGTATATTGATTTACTTTGTAATAACTCTTATTGGACATAAGTATGTGGACTTCTCTTGTTAAATCTTGAGAGAGCAGCACAATTTAATTGCCAAGAACTGCCTCAAGCTGTCGCCGCCAACAAGAATTGATCAAACCTAGTTATTACTCAAATCTTTACACTTTGGATCTCCTCTGCTAACTACTATAAGAGAAAAGGAATTGATATATACTACTTCTCAAAGCAAACTTTACAATCATGGCGCCTAAAGTTGCACTGAGCTACGCCATTCGCATATATATATATATATATATCATTGGTTGTTTATTAGTTTTTAAAAGAAATAGCAATCAAGAGTTCAAGATCACTGGAGGGTAATTAAAAGACATAAACAATTATTTATGGTATCTAGAAGAATTTTAGGCCAGATAATCAATCTAATCCATTAAAACCGAATGCAGAAAGAGTAGCAACATAAAAACAAGCTTAGGATTCTGAAAGATAAATGATAATATGCCTTGACATTTGTTGTCTAAAATACACTTAGGATGCTTCAGAAATATATTCTGCTTGGCCAATTCTATGTTACAAGAAATTGAAACTTACAGTTGATGCAATTGTAGATAATTCCAGGAATAAATCCAGTCATACACCATAGGAGTTTGCAAGGCTTCTGAGAGCATAAACTAGTGACTTTAATTTGATAATATGCTCGATAGACCTCTGAAACATGGTTTCTAAATCAGCCTCCTCGCAACCTGGAACGATCCTTCGCAGAGTACAAAGATTTCTATGCATTGAAACTTTAACAAGCTTCACTTTTTTTCTCAACACTAGGCGATACATTCTTGTCCTTTGAGTTCTTTGATTCATGGACAAGAAGCAAGCTTTTTTCTTGTCAAGTGCAAGAAAAATTTGGAGCTTGGAAATTCGTTGTTCGCCAAAGGAGTCTATGTAGATGACTCACTTGCTTGGGGCCATTTAATAGTTCAACCTTTAAAGCTCAAGATGGGGGAGATATGGAGCAAATTGCTGTCTGAGGCTTTTTCAGTACTTGTCAGTTGTCACCTAGTGAACATCACTGTATATCTCCATACACAGCTTTAGTAGTAAACTCTAAATTTCCGCTCACTTGACAGTATGCCGTAAAGTTTAACTATAATTAAAGGGAGGCAATAAAACTAAAAGGAACACAAGAAGCTGGAACTAGCCTCAGGATTTGTTTTTGGAAGTGAATTCAGTAGACAACAAAGCATGGTGCACTACATTAGGACAATTTAAATGTTTCCTCTCAGAAAACCATATTAATTTCGACACTGCACCCCTCGCCCCAAGAAACAAAAATTATAAAATAAATAAATTAATGTGTGTGTGTGTGTGCCACTAGTTAGAGATATATAAATAGAAAAAGTACAAAATGGGACTTTGTAAAATTGTTTCCTGTGACAAAAGTGATGAAAAAGTCATTACAACATCGACTTAATGGTACTGAATCCAGCATTTTTCCTTTAGTAAAAAGCAATCCCCTCCTTTGTTTCACATTAATTACAAATAGATACACTTTAGCTAATCTGCATTTATATTTTGGAATTTGGGTTATATGTAGATCCTTTTGTTAACCGAATCATCTTTATTGTTGATGGAGCTTAACTTATAATCTAGTAATTATGTCGAAGACATGGGTTGCCTATCTGATGCGACAACTTTTGCAGGATCATAAAATGATGGCAACCATGTTGGCCAGGACCACATTATGTCTAGGTGGTGGGCATGTTTTCTGCAGTCCATGTCTCCTCATCTCATTTCTCATATTCTGCAATGTACTTCAGATTCCTTTTCTCTGCAACAAAGCCTGTTTAGCCTCATTTGAGATATTTGTCAACCAACCCAACCACCTAATAAAGCTTTGTTCTTTTGCAGCTACCCCATCCATCTGTATAAAATCTGCTGGTTATTCTCCGAGGGGGGGGGCGCCTGAACCTTGACTCTTTGAGGTCCTTCTGAATTGTGACAAGACCAGAGCAAGTAGAATTGTATAGTCTTTTCCAGCATTTTTAAATTTCTATCTACCAACTGATCAGCTTTGTCTTTTTTCTCAATATACCATGGAAAAACTGATCCAGGAAAATGGAGCCTTTGATAATCCATTAAGTACATGAATATTTCCAGAAATGTGGTCCTTCCTTGCATATCTTTTCTCCCATTTAAGGATCTGATGAGAGCTGCAAGTGGGTCTTGTTTATCCTACCCACCAACAAGAGATTGATTGAATGTAGATTTCAGACTGTTTTACAGCAGGTAGAAGCCCATAACTTCAACACGAACTGGCAAATCAGCTGAACATGTATGGTATAGAGTTTTCCATTATGGGCAGAGTGCAATTTAGCTGCTGGATTTCGATGTGGATGGGGTTCAAAGAATGTAGCTAGTTGAGCCAAGTAGGCCAACTTAAAAAAGGACAAGCTAGCATTTCAAGTACAGTTCACTGCATCCAAGATGACCTTTGAAATATATCCATACAAAACCAGTGTTCCTGATCTGAAATTACAACTCTTCCAGTGGAGATGCTTGGATTCATGTTGAGACAAGTGCAAAAGAATACACAGTTTCACTACAGGATTTCTCAACAGCTGGCCTGTTGTGTTGTTGTCCAAAAACAACTAAACAAAAGCAATAAACTTTGCTTATTAGTTGCGGACTTCTCTTAGCTCCAGATTGTGCTAAATATTAACTGTCTGCAAATTAAAATGAAAATTGTTTTGAATACTACGTTACGTGTGTCATTGTGATTGCAAGGTAATCAATAAGGTTGCCACTGTATCTATGCTGCTCGGGGATGCAAGCAAATCTACCAGCATCTTTTGTAAGTTATAATTGCAGTCTTAGAATAAGTTTCGAGAATTAAGCTTCCACATCTCATGGTATATTTGGTTCGGGAAATGAAATAGGGTGAGGAAGAAATAATCATGTCGTGAGAATAGAATGAAAGAAGAATAGTTATTATATAGTTTGTTTTATTGAAATGGAATAAGATATGAATTGATATTAAGATTTATTCTAATGTTAAGTTAGTAGGAATAGTTTTAAAAATAACCAAAGAATAAGTAATAAATAACAACAATACTCTTTATTATAATATATAATTATTTTTTTTTATTTTTTTGTTTTTTAAATATTAAAATATTAAAAATTTATAATTAAAATCTTAAATATGAATTTTTTTATAATTACTATACAGTGAAATGGTAAAATAGTAAAAAAAATATTTACATTAAATAGTCACATGACTTGCACATGACTTTGATATACTCTGGCAGTTGGCATTCGATCCTCAGACTTTTTTAGGCTTTGGTTTTTTAAACTTCTATCTTCAATTAAACAAATTCTCCAAGTAAGTTTATTAAAAATATAAAATATTAATTTTTAACTTTTTTTTTTCCATTCCAGTATATTTGTTTACTTTTCTTTCGTCTTTTCTTTCTTCTCATTAATCAACCACTAGAAATGTAGTCGATGTAATGGAGCTCTAATCTGGTGCCTCCTGTGGCAGGATATGATGGGAGGATACCAATTGACACTTCTCATAGCCGGCATGGGTGCTGTCGTAGCCGGATGCCCTTGCCCTCCATTGAAGAATTTTAGAAAAAGAATGAGAGAGATAAAAGATGGTAGAGAGAGAAAGAAAACGTGAAAAATGGAAAAATAAATTTTATGTTATATATATGATGGTAATTTTAAAATTTATTTAAAGATAATTGTGTCTAATAAAATTTTGACTTTTTCTCCACCCTTGTAATAGCTATTACTGAGATCTCTCTTTGTAATTGCTATTTAAGCTTGTTCAATGGAATGATCGTTTTGAAAAATGATTATTCTTATGAAACAAATAAGTTACTCGAGAGAACTTAGAAATAGAGGAGAAATAACTATTCTATTTCTCCAACCAAATACTCCGTGAGTGATAAAAGATTTTTAGCGCGAGACGAGGACAACCATAAATCCAACTTCATGAACCACCTCGGAAAATTTTCTAACCCATCTCGCCAGCCCTTTACACTCCCTTCTGGACCCTACTAATATTACTCGTGATGCGGTTGCCTGGTAAACGTCTAGGCCATAAACAAGCTCGCACGTTGCTTGGCGGGTACAGCTCTAGGGAATATCTCTTCCCATCCGCAGATGTTATTCATATTTGGCAACGTTCTGAGTCAGACTTAAATAGTGTGTGATAAATTGAAAAAAAAAAAAATTAACACTGAATTCTTACTATTGAAAAAAATTTAAGTGTTGAATTTTTAATTACAAAAAATTAAAATACTGAATTATCAAAACGCATCAAAGCTGTTCCTCAAGTTAAACTTCAACTTTTTTTAGTTTATAAAAAAAAACACACACACACAAAATAAATTACATCATTAGAGGGCAAAAGGAGCAAGAAAACAATCTTCAGAAAGATCAAGGGCTAAATTACAAAACTGGTCGTGTTAGAAACAACTTTCACAAGCCACTTGTAGCGTATACAACGACTGATGCTTGAAGATCTCGGTCTACCTTGAAGTGAGCATGGAAAAACCTTCTAACCTGCAGTTTTTTTATTAAAAATCAAAAGCTTAATTGCAAGTGCCACAAGTAGCATGCAAAAGAATGACTTGATAAATAGATCAAACAAAGAGTATTAACTTGTACCTCTCTAAAAGAATGCGACACTAGAAAATTTCTTAATTTCTTCTCCTCTGAATCGAACAATACAATATGACTTGGGCAAGACCAAGTTTTTGCAAAATCCATTGCAAAACCAACAGGATCCATCATGAAACGATCCGATTCATCTGGGATTCCTTTCTCTTCACTGCTACACATGAGAATAACATAAGAATTACAAAAGAAAAGCAGCATTATAACATCATGGAAAGAAAAATTATTGCCAGCCGTTCACCTTGGTGAGCAATCTAAAAAACGCATGGGAAGGTTACGATGCAGAGTTGAATAGTAGGGTGTGGCATGGCAGGGCATTAGGAAAAGGATACTTTTCACTTTCTCTCTCGCAGCTTCTTTAGATAGATAGTTCATCACATCCTCAGTTCCTCTCTGTCTAGCAAGTTTGAGATTTGAGCATCAAGTGAACGAGAACCAGGAATAAAACAGAATTTCCAACAAAACAACTTAGTGAAGGATCTTTCCATTTCTATTACTTCATAGTTAGGATCATAATAACGAAATGAAAAGGATAATGATAAGAGATATTTACTTCAACTACTAAAGCAAATATTCAAATAATACACATGGGATGGAAGTGACCAAGCAAATTAAGCTGTTTTAGTAAAGAAGAGACACAAGTTAAGCTCTTTGCAAAAACGAGGCAGTCGATATACCTGATGAACTAAACTCATATAGAGGGCCATTGGAATATTGGTTGCAAGCAAGAAGCAGATAGCAAGTTGCTTTTTTGAAGGCCATTTCTTGTGAATGTGTGAAGGTCCTTTCCTTTCACCATTTGGAGCACCATGTTCTTCAAGCGCAGCTAATGAATATCCAGAGAATATCAAACTTATAGGAAGCACAGGGAGGACAAACCTAGAGCAAACAGATGAATAAGAATAAAGCAGAACAAAAGGTAGATAAAGAATTCTCAACAGAACAAGAACTCAAACCACATCATATTTATGGTTTAGAGAAACTTGCCTGAATTCTTTGTGACCAAGTATGCTGTATAGTCCTAAAACCCACGCAATAAGGCCAGAAAGTTTCCAATATTTAGACTTGACAATGCCAGCTAGACAAAATGGAAGAAAACTGAATAGCATCACTGTAAATCCCTGAGTGAAGTACCAGTGCCACTTGTGAGTTCCATAATAATCTCCACCAGAGGAAAGAAAATTGAACTTGA